GCAACTATTCAACAGATAGAGCCATAGGAAAGACCTTATGTTAATTTCCCTGTTTCTAGCATTCTTCAAAAATGTCCTCATAGGGGAGGCGGAGCAATGAGCAGAATGATCCAAGTGCAGAATGGGTCCAAGAGCAGAAAAACAGAAAAATATTGACTTATATTGGTTTATACGGGCTAATTGATAAAACAATTAAAAGAATCGTCAAAAAATACCAAAAAAATACCATAAATTAGGCATGAAGAGATTATTTTCATTAAATTTTTTATTAATTTTTTTTCAAATTCCTAATGAAATTGCGCAAATTATGCATAAAATAATTGTTGCTTTGCTATTATTGACGTTTCTGATCATTATTTTACCGATTAGTTTATAAAAGTTGATATTTTTCTGCTTTACCTGTTTTTTTTTCAATTGAAGGATTTCAAGCTGGGCCCGTTGGTCGATTTAGCCATATTCGCTAGCTTCTGATGATTGAAGTACCCTAATATTGCAGCTGAAAAAAGACGTTTGTGAGAACAGACGTCTAAACAACCCATTTTTGTACGGTTAGCTGGGGCGTTGTTGTATTCAGCTGTATCAAACATTATCCGCAATACAGCTTCACAAATTAGATTTTTTAAAACACAAAAATAGTAACAAGCATCATTATTCTTTTCGGTTTTGTGGACCAAGTTAACATCCTCCCCCCTAAACACGTTTAGGGGGCAGGATGTTAACTTGGTTCTAAGTTGGGAATTTTCAGCTAATCAGAATCGAGCAATTTACATGCAGCGCTTAGCAAAAATAATTTGATTTAAGCTCTGGGGTGGAGGATCTTAACTTGATCTATTAGGGAGGGGAGGATGTTAACTTGTTCCGGTTTTGTTTTAGCGAAGCGATTTAGTGCACTTCATACAACTCACATGCAATAGAAGCAACTATTCAACAGATAGAGCCATAGGAAAGACCTTATGTTAATGTCCCTGTTTCTAGCATTCTTCAAAAATGTCCCCATAGGGGAGGCGGAGCAATGAGCAGAATGATCCAAGTGCAGAGTGGGTCCAAGAGCAGAAAAACAGAAAAATATTGACTTATATTGGTTTATACGGGCTAATTGATAAAACAATTAAAAGAATCGTCAAAAAATACCAAAAAAATACCATAAATTAGGCATGAAGAGATTATTTTCATTAAATTTTTTATTAATTTTTTTTCAAATTCCTGATGAAATTGCGCAAATTATGCATAAAATAATTGTTGCTTTGCTATTATTGACGTTTCTGATAATTATTTTACCGATTAGCTTATAAAAGTTGATATTTTTCTGCTTTACCTGTTTTTTTTTCAATTGAAGGATTTCAAGCTGGATCCGTTGGTCGATTTAACCATATTCGCTAGCTTCTGATGATTGAAGTACCCTTTTTTGTCTTTTAGAGCCTGATTTCATGCTTCCGAGGGACTGATGGTTGCAGATAGTTATTTCCGTTGGGTCTCACTATTTCTCATATTACAACTAAAAACATCCCTAATGTACTCTGCTCCGTCTGACTCTCTAATATTACACGTGCTAGCGAGGTCCGTCAATGCTCCCCAAAACTGTTCGAAGGATTCCCTGTCTCTTTGTTTCGGGTTTAAAAAATTGTAACCCTCAAATGTAACGTTTGGAGGTTTATTAAAAGCTAGGTCCAAAAGGTCCCAAAATTCTCTCAAAGAGATGGATTAAATTTTCACCCTAGGGTTTTCCTAAGAGAAAACCTTTTCTTTTCTTCATTGCTTCTCAACTTCTTGTCCGCTTCTGCTCTTCTCCCTCCAATTTTTTTCTTTCGTTGTTTATTCTCTTCACTTCGGTAGCTTCGTAGGATTTCGTCGCAGTCCTATTTCTTGCCTGCCGACTGGATTTTTCCGTTTCCGACTCATTTCCTGGGGCTGTTCTAGGATTGAAATCTAGTTTACTCAAATTGTCATTGTCCAGATTCTCCTTCGCTTTGATTGCCAATCAAAATGGGTCGCGGCAGTGTGTCCAGGAATGTGGTGGCTCCATTGTGTGGTTCGGCCAGAATGCAGTAATTCCCGGCAGGTTCGATTCATTTGACTGCGCTTTAATAAACTATTCTGATGTTAACCCTCAATATGTACAAACAATGTACGCTAAATGAGAACTAAAAGAATTAAAAAAATAAAGTGTCAATTTAAATGTCTGTTTTAAAACTATAACGAACACTAGAATGATCGACCGATGGTCGATTTGTAACATACTTGGCAGGTTTCTAATCAATTCTAAAGGTCAATAGATCTAACGAAATGAACAACTCACAACCATTCTGCTTCTGCCCTAGCTTTTTTTTGATAGGCTTCTTTCCCAATCGTACTCTACGGTTCAAACAATTCACCCTATTGGCGATTGACAAGAAAAAAAACAAATTCTAAAACGGGGAGGGATTTCATCCTGGAGGGACCGAATGGTGGTAAAATTTCAACCAGTCAAAACCGCTAACAGTTTCTATTGGCTGAATGCTTTTCTCACAAAATTAACAGAAAATGATCATTTAATTAAAAATTTAGATGCAGATAAAATAGGAGGTGGTTTGATAAATTTTGTTTTTTGTTTTTCCATTTTTGGTAAAATCGGTATCCTAGAAGAAAGTAAAATTGCTCCAATCCGCCTTCGATCCGCCCTTGGTTTCAATTATCAGCTCACTATATAATCGGTCAAAATTAACACTATTGGACTTGTTTTATATGCTTACTTTGAGTTTTTGCGATTTCCCCGAGACTTTTTAAAACTCAATTCCGACTGGCTTAAAATCAGCCAAATTTAATTTCAAACATTCGGTCCCTCCAGCATAAGGGAAGCCTTCTCTAAATCTTCTGCTTCTGTCAAATTCAAGCGGAATTACCAGCTTGAAAAACAACATCACTTAGAGGAGGTGGCGTCCCTCATGCTGGAGGAAACGAATGCTTGAAGATTGTTTTGGCTTATTTTCAGCCAATCAGACTTGATTATTCAAACATCTCAGGGAAATTGCGAAATGGCGAAAGTAAGCAAATAAATCCAGGCAATTTGTGTTAATAATGGCCGATCATATAATAAGCATAAGAAAAACAATGCAGAATTGAAGACGGATTGGAACAAAATTGATGTTTCAAGGATACCGATTTACAACAAATGGAGAAACAAAAAACTAAATTTATAATATCTGCATCTATTATATAAATTATTTTAAGTTTTTCGATTATTATTGGTTCGATTTTGCGAGAAAGACATTTAGGCAATAGGAACGTTTAGCTTTTTTTGTTTGGTTGAAGTTGTTCCAGCATTCGGTTCCTCCAACATGAGAACCCTTCCCCCTTAGAGGAGATGGGGTAAGCTTCCATAAGCGGTCCAGCAGTTGGTTCAATTAAATCACATTATTTGGTTTCTTCAAGTGTGCTGTATGGATAGCAACCGACTGCCAAAAGTTACTTATCTGGCGGAAAGTGAGGCGACAATTCGTAACAGGTGATAATTCGTAACGAGACACAATTGGTAACTGTAGATTCAGCGGGAAACACTGAATCACGCGCAGTATTCCTCTTGTGCCGGATGTAATCGCAGGGGAGCAAGCGTTTTTTCTTTGTTACAAATTGTCGCTTGTTACGAATTGTCTCCTGTTACGAATTGTCGCCTGTTACGAATCGTCGCCTGTTACGAATTGTCACCTGTTACGACTTGTCGTCCTACCCTGGCGGAAGACAGCCTGGATGGATATGAGCTTAATATCTGCCAAATAAACTGTGGGTAGAGTTCATGATGAAGCTAATCTGATTATATTTCTCACGCATGAACGGCATGTAGTCATCACCAACCGGCTATCTTTGTTCTATTAATGAAGGGGCGGATTTAGGGAGTAGACGGGGGGGCGGACTTCCCCCCTCAGGGATTCGACCCCCTCATCAACCAAAGGACCTCCGCTATGATATTACATAATAAAAATTTTCCTAATTCGCCTGTGGCGGCAAGAAAAACGAATTTTGAAGGGGAGCGCGCGCTCTTTTTGACCTTTTTTTTCAAAATTGGCTGCAGCTCAAAACTTTTGGTCAAATCAAGGTCTTTATAGTAATCTTGGTGTGGTAGGAAAATCAATTTGGTCTGGAGGCGTTCAGCAGTTCCGAAGTACAACAGTGCCGAAAATAAAAGTGTTCAACAGTGCCGAAAATTGATGATTTTCTGTACTGTTGAATTAAAGTTTTATTTTCGGCACTCTTGTTCTTCGGCACTGTTGAACGCCCCTCTAAGGTCCGCACAGTGCCGAAAATAATTTTATTGTTCAACAGTGCCGAAAATCATCAATTTTCGGCACTGTTGAACACTTTTTCATTTTCGGCACTGTTGTACTTCGGCACTGTTGTACTGCTTCTTTGGTCTACATAGCAAAAAAATCGACAAACATTTTGAAATTTAAAAAAATCGACAAAACTTGTGAAATTTTTTTTAAAACCGCCCCACCCCTTCGAGAAAATTATGTAGTTTTACCACTATCCTAGCAGTTTGCAAGCAAACTAAAACACACTTTATGTGCAGTTATCAACAAACCTTCCGAACGTTGTCATCATAGCAGAAAAGACATTTAAAAATTGCTTCATTCATTACTAAGGACTCGAAATTGTTTCAAACAAGCAATAGTAATTTGAGACTAACCCAAGTTTTAAAAAAAATTCGCAATCAAACAAAAAAAATGGTGAAAACTTAAAATCAACCTCACAGTGGCCACACAACCTTCTCGTTTCCCATCTGTAACGAATAACAACAAAAAGCTTTGCTTTTCTAATTTTCGTAGCACGCCCACCTTTGTTAGAATTTGCTAATGCTGAATGTGATTTTACAAAACTTGACATTGATTTTGTGCATAAATCGTTGCTACCTTCGATTGCCATAACTAGCAATAAGGCTGGGCTGTTTTGAAAAAACTTAATTTTTGCGCTAAATGATTTACTGACTGGTGGATTCAAAATTTGCATATTCGATGAAAACGGAAGTCTGAAGAATAAAATGTACTATGAAAGAGAACAACTTCATGTCAATTGGCATAAACTAAAACGACAAATATTATATAAAATGTTTTGACACTTTTCAGTGGCAAAAGATAAGAATCTTTAGAAACTAGATACAGCAAATACCGTAGAGCAGAACCTTGGTCACTAACGAGGTATAACTTGAACATAAATTACTTAAGTTTTCACTTTCAGTCTACTCTTGAACCAGTTTGAAGCACTAAGTGGTTCGGGTATTTTGCATTGTTGGTAACAAGGCACTGACACGCGTAGCTTTTTCTCTTTTCCTTCCAATGTCTCTGCAACTGGGAGCATCGCATTTAAACTTATCAGTAAACGTCTGGCTCTATTAGCTCTTCTATTGTGCAGTTCATCTCGCATTGGCATTGTAGGGCGACACGGGTGCCAATGGTCGACCTTGATTTACTGTAGAGAATTCTGGAGATGTTGTCTGGGCAATTGAGCCTTCGTGACCACCAGCGGACGCCATAGTAACTGCAGCAGCACTCGAGGTTATGCAGTGAGTCTGGAGCGACAAAGGCGACTCTGGGCCACTACTTGTCTGCATGTGTTGTGTATGTAGTGTCTGTGAATGCATCTGTTGAGAACCCCCCACTGCTGGAATGTTGGCCATCTGCTGATGGTTTTGCCTGGCCGAGAAGCTATTGGCGCCTCCTTTCAGTACCGCCTTCTGTGCTTGAGATTCTGAGCTCCCCAAACGTTCTACTGGTGCAGTTGACAGGGTGTGCTGCTGCTGCATCATCTGAGGAGGGGGAGGAAAGCCCACATAGTTGTGTATGTGGTTGTGCACATGATGTGAGGCGATCGGCGGCAACGAAGACGCATTCGTCGGAGTGCTGCTATGGGCTGAGTGATGTCGAGATGCCGACGAGTTCACCGTCGAAACTATTGAGTCTGCAGTCGACTCGGCTATTTGCTGCGCGTTTGCTTCCTAAAATACATGCATGAAACGCTTCAAACATTATCCGCAATAGATTTTTTAAAACACAAAGAAATTAACAAGCATCATTATTCCCTTCGGTTTTGTGGACCAAGTTAACATCCTCATCCCTAAATACGTTTAGGGGGGAGGATGTTAACTTGGTTCTAAGTTGTGAATTTTCAGCCAATCAGAATCGAGCATTTTACATGCAGCGCTTAGCAAATTTAATTTAATTTAAGCTCTGGGGTGGAGGATCTTAACTCGGTCTATTAGGGGGGGGGGGGGGGGGGGGGAGGATGTTAACTTAACTTGATCCGGTTTTGTTTTAGCGAAGCAGAAAAAGCGGTACGCCAACCAAAATAAACAATAGATGTGATATGTGATTTGCTTTCTATCTACCGCAAAATCTACCTTTGAGAATTAAGAGGAAAGTGGGACTTATCCTTATCCCTCGTCATATGAGCATGATGACATGAAAACAGACATTTGGCTGCTAATCGAACGTGTTTCATTTCTAATACAGTGCATTTGTTTGGTTAACAGAGAGCAACACACGGAGAACACCTAATCTGAAAATGTGTTAGTAGGCCGCCATTCCAATTTTATGGTAATATTTAGAGCACGTCATACAATTCACATGCAATAGAAGCAATTATTCAACGGATAGAGCCATAGGAAAGACCTTATGTTAATGTCCCTGTTTCTAGCATTCTTCAAAAATGTCCCCATAGGGGAGGCGGAGCAATAAGCAGAATGGTCCAAGTGCAGAATGGGTCCAAGAGCAGAAAAACAGACAAAAATTGACTTATATTGGTTTATACGGGCTAATTGATAAAACAATTAATAGAACCGTCAAAATATACCAAGAAAACGAATAAATTATGCATCAAGAGATGCATTAAGTTTTTTGATTAATTTTTTTTTTTAATTCCTGATTAAATTGCGCAAATTATGCATAAAATGTTCGTTGCTTTGCTATTATTGACGTTTGTGATAATTATTTTACCGAACATCTTATTGTAGTTGATATTTTTCTGCTCTTGGACCCATTCTGCTCTTAGACCATTCTTCTTATTGATTGGCCACCCCCCATAGGCTACTCACAAATAGTCTCCATTTCGGATTAGATACACTTAGTTTTAACAGTTCCTACTGCGATTTCCAGCCGTAAGCAATTATCATACTGACTTTACTGACTTACTTCAAATAGAATTAACTTGGTTAAATTTAATACACCCACAATAAAGCTCAATAGTTATACTTGAGATCGGTTCAAGTGGTTGTTGAATGTTTACTACAGCAACCATTTATCAACACTCGAATCGATCGCGTACCACTGCAAGTTGTAACCCACTCAACATGAGATATTTGCATTTTAAGTTCAATTTTGGGAACAAAAACGCCCGCCAATTTCGGTACTGCTGCTTTTTATCAGTCCAAAAACCGAGGAAAAAGAGAGGACGTAAAATTCTTTCAATTTTTTCAACCAAACGTTTAAAGCATAGAGCATGTATTTTTTAAAAGAACGTCAGCATATTGGTATTAAAGGACTACAGCCGACATTCAAAAATGAATACGAAAACGGAACAAGACTGCTCGTATCAGGGCGAAGCCCTGAAGGTTCCGACTACCTTTTAAGGTCTATGGAGCGGCAATAACATAAAAAAATAAATGTAATAAAATGAAAAGAAATTTTTTTTTCTCTAAAGTTTGAGACTTTTTTTGTGAAAATCAAGACCCCCCCATTCCCCCCCCCCCCCACACGCCATATAAAGTTCAAAAGGATAGATTTTGCTTCTTTCAACAAATCGATTACGGCAAATAGGCTTCTTTCAACCAATTTGGAACGATTTCTAAGACGGATTAAATCTCCGATTACGCGTTATTAGCGCGAAATATATAGCGCGTTAATTGTCCCAAATTGGCCAAAATGGCAATCTTTAATACCCCATAATTTTACGAAAAATGATCACAGGTGAAATATCTTTTCAAACTTGAGCTCAAGACAACAATACCTTTCGAACGATATTGAAAACATTACGTCAAAAATGGCTAGTTAAAAAGTCGATATTTGTCTGAAGAAAAAAACCCATCCCGAGCACAAATATTCCGTAACATTCGTTACGAAAGTCAGAAAGACCAGACTACTCGTATCAGTGCGAAGCCCTGAATGTTCCGACTGCCTTTTAAGGTTTATGGGGCAGTAAAAACAAAAAACTTAAATGTAATATGACAAAATGAAGAAAAAAAATTCTAAAACTTGAAACTTAATATGGTGTGTGGGGGGATGGTTTTCATAAAAAGTTTCAAGTTTTAGAATTTTTCTTCTTCATTTTGTCATATTACATTTAAGTTTTTTGTTTTTACTGCTCCATAAACCTTAAAAGGCAGTCTGAACATTCAGGGCTTTGCCCTGATACGAGCAGTCTTGTTGTTCCGACTTTCGTAACGGATGTAACAGAATATTTGTGCTCGGGGTGGGTTTTTTTCTTCAGACAATTTTCCACTTTTTACCTAGCCATTTTTGACTGAATTTTGTAAAATATCATTCGAAAGCTATTTTTGTCTTGAGCTTAAGTTTGAAAAGATATTTCACCTGTGATCGTTTTTCGTAAAATTATGGGGTATTAAAGATTGCCAGTTTGGCCAATTTGGGACAATTATCGCGCGATATATTTCGCGCTATTAACGCGTATGCTGAGATTTAATCCGTCTTAGAAATAGTTCCAAATTGGTTGAAAGAAGCTCATTTGCCATTATTGATTTGTTATAAGGAGCGAATATTATCTTTTTGTACTTAATATGGTGTGTGGGGGGATGGTTTTCATAAAAAGTACAAAAAGATAATATTCGCTCCTTATAACAAATCAATAATGGCAAATGAGCTTCTTTCAACCAATTTGGAACTATTTCTAAGACGGATTAAATCTCAGCATACGCGTTAATAGCGCGAAATATATCGCGCGATAATTGTCCCAAATTGGCCAAACTGGCAATCTTTATTACCCCATAATTTTACGAAAAATGATCACAGGTGAAATATCTTTTCAAACTTAAGCTCAAGACAAAAATAGCTTTCGAATGATATTTTACAAAATTCAGTCAAAAATGGCTAGTTAAAAAGTGGAAAATTGTCTGAAGAAAAAAAAACCCACCCCGAGCACAAATATTCTGTTACATCCGTTACGAAAGTCGGAACAACAAGACTGCTCGTATCAGGGCAAAGCCCTGAATGTTCAGACTGCCTTTTTATGAAAATGTTTTTGAAGCATTTTATGAAAATCATCCCCCCAAACGCCATATAAAGTACAAAGTGATAAACTTCGCTCCCATTAACAAATCAATTTGGCAAATAGGCTTCCTTCAACCAATTTGCAGCGATTTCTAAGACGAACTAAATCTCCGCTTACGCGTTAATAGCGCGAAATATATCGCGCGTCAATTGTCCCAAATTGGCATTCTTTGAACCCCAAAAGTTAACAAAAATTTGTTCCAGGTAAAAAAAGACTCGTTATATTTGAGCATAAGACAACAATACTTTTCTAATTATTTTTAAAAATTCCGTCCAAAATTGCTAGTTGAAACCGAAATCAGTCTGGAGGTATAACTTGAAAATAAATATCTTAAGTTTTCACTTTCAGTCGACTCTTGAACCAGCTTGAAGCACTAAGTGGTTCGGGTATTTTGCATTGTTGGTAAGAAGGTACTGACACGTGTAGCTTTTTCTCTTTTTCCTGCAATGTCTCTGCAACTGCTGCGAGCATCGCATTTAAACTTATCAGTAAATGTCGAGGTTAAGCAGTGAGTCTGGAGTGACAAAGTCGACTCTGGGCCACTACTTGTCTGCATGTGTTGTGTATGTAGTGTCTGTGAATGCATCTGTTGAGAAGCCCCCTGCTGGAATATTGGCCATCTGCTGATGGTTTTGCCTGGCCGAGAAGCTATTGGCGCGTCCTTTCAGTACCGCCTTCTGTGCTTGAGATTCTCAGCTCCCCAAACGTTCTGCTGGTGCAATTGACAGAGTGTGCGGCTGCTGTATCATTTGAGGAGGGGGAGGAAAGCCCATAAAGGTGTGTATGTGGTTGTGGACATGATGTGAGGCGATCGGCGGCAACGAAGACGCGTTTGTCAGAGTGCGGCTATGGGCTGAGTGATGTCGAGATGCCGACGAGTTCACCGTCGAAACTATTGAGTGTGCAGTCGACTCGGCTATTTGCTACGCGTTTGTTTCCTAAAATACATGCATGAAACACTTCGAACATTATCCGCAAAACAGCTTCACAAATTAGATTTTTTGAAAAACAAAGAAATTAACAAGCATCATTATTGAGAAAGGGACTTATCAAAATCCCTCGTCTTATCCAAGCCAATGTGAATATGCTGACATGAAAGCAGACATTTGGCTGCTAATCGAAGGTGTTTCGTTTCTAGTACCGTGCATTTGTTTGGTTAACAGAGAGCAACACACGGTGAATACCTAATCTGAAAATGTTTTAGTAGGCCGTTATTCCAATTTTATGGTAATATTTAGAGCAAGTCATGCAATTCACATGCAAAAGAAGCAATTATTCAACGGATAGAGCATAGGAAAGAACTTATGTTAATGTCTCTGTTTCTAGCAAATGTCCCCATAGCAAATGTTCTTCAAAATATTCCTATAGGCTTCTCACAAATAGTCTCCATTTCGGATTAGATACACTTAGTTTTAACAGTTCCTTGATTAAATTTAATATACCCACAATAAAGCTCAATAGCTATACTTGAGATCGGGTCCAGTGGTTGTTGAATGTTTACGACAGCAACCATTTATCAACACTCGAATCGATAGCGTACCACTGCAAGTTTTAACCCACTCAACATGAGATATTTGCATTTTAACTTCAATTTTGGAAACAAAAATGCCCACCAATTTCGGTACTGCTGCTTTTTATCAAACCAAAAACCGAGGAAAAAGCAAGGACGTAAAATTCGTTCAATTTTTTTAACCAATCGTTCAAAGCAGAGAGCAT